TAGCTTCTGTACTCCAGCTTAGAGACTCATACTGAGTGTGTTTGCTCTAGTTATGATAAATTGCTTGCAATGTTCCTCATTTGTAAGTCGCTTTAGCGACATGTTATTACACGTTACCATGTTTCATAAAGGTTCCTGCAGTTATACATCTAAAATACCCTCAATCCCACCATTAGCTTTTGTTGAACAGGATGTGGGCTACAGCGCTGATGAAATAAACTCTACACAATTCTACGCATACATTCACACAGACAGACACCCTTAAACATAGTCATTTAAGGACATACTTGTACAAACATTTAACCTTTTTCACACACACAATCACAAGCCCAAATTCCTAAATTACTATAATTTGCTCCAAGACTCACCCACACAAACACAGCACGGAGCTCTCTAGGGACACACGCGGTGAGCCCAATTAAAAAGCGAGCAAGCGGATAGACAGACAGAGAGGGATAAAAAAAAGAAGGAAAACACTGAGCGCTGTCAGTTTGTTCTCTTATTTCCACTCATGAACTGCACAGCTTCACAGCAGTACAATACAGAACAACTCATGAGAGAGCAGCTCTTCAGAGACTTCAAAGACTATTCTGCACTAACTGCAACTGTTTAGGGTCAAGCTGAAATGAAGTGCATCTCAGACGACGCCACAATTAGTGTTCTTCACAGAACAAAAGGGAATCGTTTTAAAGATTTATTTATTTGGAGTTAACAAGATCTTTTAGAGATGATGTGTTGTTTTCACTTACTGACTACTTGTCTGTCTGGAGATTGCAGGAGATCATGCAGTGATGCTTTGTTCTCAGACCACCAATCTTCTTTGCTGTAATTGCTAAAATATAATGGGGACCTGAATGTGAGACAACTTACAACTGTCTTTATGGCTTTAAAACCATGCATCCACATGAGAAGAGCATTTAGCGTGATCAATGCAGACACAAATACACACACTGATGGTATATTGAGAACGACGGCTGTGGGCTCCATTATAAATGAACAGAGGTTCAAAGGTTTATTTGAGCTAATACAACTAAATCCCTGGAGAAATAACCAAAGTAAAGAGTCTGTAAGAGATAGCAGGAGAGACACTGGGACAAATCTGAATTAGGGCAATAACATGAACAATGATGCTTCCTTGGGATGCAATGATATTAAATTGTGGCCGATACAGATAAGATGATAATTATTTTCATTTCATGGCTGAAATTAAAATTCTAAATAATAAAAATAAAATAATAAATAATAAATAATAAAAACAAGTTTTAAATACTGCACGTGAATTTATTACATTATATATTAATTAATTCATTTTGGGATTAACTAAAGATTACATTTAACTGATTTAATATTACAAAAAAATTTACTAAGATAAAATGTATTACCAAGTTAGTATTTAGTACTTTAATGTGGATATGCTGATATTAAAAGTCTGGCCAATACTGATAAGCTGTTAATTATTTTCATCTTATGGCTGAAATTAAAATTTTTATAATATTGTGTCCAAATAAACTAAAAAACAAAACAAAAAATAAAATTAGCCTATTCATTTTAAATACTATAAAGTTATTACATTATATATGTACAGTAGGCTACATAATGTACAGTATTTTGAATGAACAGATATTCATTTTGAGATTTGCTTAAAATTACATTTTAAATTATTAGTGTTTTTAAACATTTAGCCTACTTAAAATTAATGTATGATGATCTCAATGTAAAATTAGGAGAAATTGATAATTAACAATTAAATATGTAATATCATCCTGCACCGTTTAAAAAACAAACAAACATTCCAATAGGACACTGATGCACCATGCATCACTTTTGCAAGAGTTTTTGTTAAAAATGTTAGGTGAAGTTTGTTAGAAACCAAGAAAATTCAACTTTTAATAAAACTACTGTAGTTTATATTGGCAGTGTCTGCTGCACAGACAACCCAACAGTCTTTTATAGAAACTTCTCTCAATTCACTCCAAGGACAGTACAGCTCCAGACAGAAGGAAAGAGACTAAGAATACCAATTCCTCACAGGGAGAAATCAATTACAGCTGGGTTGACACCCTGCAAAACAGAGAAATTGCAGCGTCTGTTTGTGTGTGCCCATAACAGCTATTTACAGATTTGTTGTCTGTTTTATTAAGTTTTCCTCCTACTTAGTTTGCAAGCCTGTACATCATTTGATTAGATTAAAGAGAAGTTTTCATAGCAACAGTCTGGATTTTGAGTCAAGCATAGGTACAGTCCATGCAAACGAATACATGGTTCTCATTCCACTATGGGAGGAACTTGTTTTGTCATCTCAGGCAAGTAATTTACTCACAACATTTAAAACTGAGATCAGATGCACAATACCAATTAACAAAATGTACCTCCTTCCAGCATTACTCAACTGTGTTTTTAGTTTAAAATAAGCCTTGGCAAGTGGTGTCAAACTGTCAGGAGTTTAGCGCTCACAAACACACACCCCCCTACGCACAAACTTGATAGGTTGTTCAAAAGATATCCCCAGCATCCAAGCAATTAGTGCTCAATGTTTCCATAGCAACCCAAAAGACCAGTAGGAAGGAGACAAAACTTGGACCATAATTGCGATTTTCCCTTCCTCCCCTGTACATTCCCTCACTATGCATTATGGATTAAATCGTGCACATTTTTACAAGAACTGATTTGCAAGGTGCCAATAGCTTCCTGCTGAGTTGTTCTAGGACCTTGATTACCCATTTTAGTCGTTTGATTGAAAAAGGACCTAATGAATTTAAATGTCCAGGGGTAAGACTGAGCCTCACAGTAGTGGCTTGCATCTATAGATGCTATATAAAGACCACATTTCCACAAGGCCAATAACATAATTGAGATTTAATGATTGCCCTCAGTAATTTACTTACAGCTAACTAGCAATTATAGTTAATTAACTGACATTCATGCAATTCTGTGTACTGTAAAAAAAAAAAATGTAATGCCTGAGGCAAATATATAAAAAAATAAGTTAAATTATACAGCTCAAATATCAAATTTCAGCTCTGTGGATGAAGAGGCGTTTGTTCCTTCACTGGATCAAATCTTAGCAAGTCACACCATGTCAACGAACACATCTGAAGCATATTTTAATCATCTATTCAAATTAGTCATTATAGAAACATCTGTTATTCTTTTCATCACTTTGCATTTAATAAACACAAAGACAGGAATAGTATTATAATTAACTCACCAAATGGTCAGAGTGAAGCAGATTCATCAGGTCAGATCCAGAGGCTAGCAGTGAGGAGTTTATGAACCCCGTGATCCACACTGACTGGGGAAATTACATATGCATGCAGGGAAGTGATGGTGGCGATGCTGTTTGCATGATTGTGTTTGATTGCCATGTTTGATAAGGGTTCAGAAAATACGGTCAAAATCTCTAATAATAGCACCTGGAATGTAGCTTGAGGGAAACATCACAACACACATACACACACAAACCACTTGGTTTATCAGCCTTGGAGTGACAAACACACACTCTGAAAAACACATTAAACCTGTTTTCATTATCTACAGACACACACACATACACATAGCCATTATATTCCTGACAGTCGCGTGGGAGGTGAAATTTGATATGATGGTGGTTAAGCAGTCGGTTAAGGCCGGGTCACTCTTGCACTCTTCAGACTCCCATGACTGTCTGACTGGGTCAAGTCCATGGCCGTCACCAAGGAGACACAGCCTCTGAGGATCTTTCTATAGGAGTTTTTATTCAGCTTCAGTATTCACAATGGAATGAATGCAAAATGTAAAACCTATGAAATGCAGGAAATGAGTGCATGGTTACATTATCATTAGGGATGGGTTGACAATAACATTTCATCGCTACCCAAAACCAGGCACAGATCCATCCTTCAAAAATGGTAGACCAAGTAACTTTGAAAATCCCATTTCTACATATCTAATCCCAGATACTATTTAGGGCACATCGATGCATCAATATGATTCTCAGTATCGGTATCGGCTCCGATACTGGTATTTTCTGCTGGATCGGGTATCGGTCAGACGAGACCGATCCAAATCCGATATTGTGCATATACTATTCTGTGTTATTAAACCCCACAAAAGGCACAAAAACATGATAAAGCTCCATAAAGTTTCCGTGCACTATATTTCAAGTGTTCTGAAGCCATTCCGTAGCTTAATGTGAGGTACAAATGAATATTTAAGTCAAGTTGACAAACTCTTCTCTCCGCTGTGGCTGTCTGTCATCCTCCATTCAGCATTCAAACTGCATGTTAGGGATGGGCGGACTGATCCTTAAGTATCCTCACATAAAAATATCGATTGTAAAGTGCAATTTTTAACCATTAATTTTATTTATTTATCAAGAAATTCAGTGCATAAAGTAAGCTTCTAAGTGGAAAAATAGACTATATTAGCGAATAATTGTGTTTGGATAGAACCATTTCTCCTGCTCATCGGAACACACGCAAATGCTGAAAGACAGAACCAATCAATCACAGACAGCGTTCGTGGCTCACAGCGTTTGTTCACATAGGGCTGCATTTCCCAAAAGCAGAGGAAGCATAAGTAGATCTTAAGAAACCATTGCCACATTATAACATTACATTACATAACATTGTTACTATAATATATATAATTAATTCTGAAAAATGCATCACGGTCCACACAAATATGAAAATTTGGTTTCCACACAAATATGAAGCAACAATAATAATAAATGTTTCTTGAGCAGTAAATTATATTATAATTATTTCTGAAGGATCATGTGACACTGAAGACTGAAGTAATGATGCTTAAAATTCAGCTTTGATCACATATGCATTTTAAATTACATTTTAAAATATATTAAAATAGAAAAAAAAAATTTGTTGTTTTTTTTCAAATAAGTGCAGCCTTGGTGCGCATGAGACTTTAAAAAAAATTTACAAAATCTTACTGACCCCAAACTTTTGAACGGTAGTATAAGTGCAGGCAAACAGTTAATGTAAAGATTGTTTCATATTTTAACATAACATGAAAATATTAGTATTTTGTCTTAAATTACATGCTTATTTTAAATTAAACTGATTCTTTAAGGGTTTGCACATCCAGCACCACTAATTGAAGAAAATATTCAAGAGGAGACACAATCTCCCAAACTAAAGAAGGTATTTATTCTGCCTCATCCATATAACACTGATAAATTGTTGTTAAACAATTTATTTGAGAAAGCAAGGCTCATTATCTCATCTGTGCCTTCTTTCGTAGTTATCCTCAATAGCATCATCAGGATATGAAACACCTGTTGTTCAGTAAGTTCCTTTTCAGTCCTAGTCATTGAGCTATCTCAGTTTTTCTTCTTTAAACAATCTTTGTTTGCTGTCTCTCCAGCAACTTCCCATTGCCTGATCAGCAGATATCATCCCTCTCTGTCCCGTCAGCCCTCAGTACGAGTGGCTCTCTTCCAGATCTATCCAGCCTCCACCTGCCTTCTCCTCTTCATGTAGGCCAGGATTCTGAGCCCCACAGTGGTGCGGAACAATTGAGCAATGCATCCACGTACCCTGACGTTATGGCTGGCTTTAACTTACCAGGTGTGTTTCATATGCATTTTAAATTACATTTTAAAATATATTAAAATAGAAAAAAAAAATTTGTTGTTTTTTTTCAAATAAGTGCAGCCTTGGTGCGCATGAGACTTTAAAAAAAATTACAAAATCTTACTGACCCCAAACATTTGTGTACATGTAATATTTAGTTTAAATTGGCTAGTTTGTGCAAGTAAATTTATTTAAACTGGTTGTTAAAAGTTCAAATGGATTGTGTTATGTTCTGTAATTGCTGTTAATAAATCTGTCAGAAAACAATATGCTAAAGCCTGGCAGCCTTTTACAAAAATTAACCATGGTTTTATTACAGTAACCACAGTATTTGCAGTAAAACTGCAGTAACCACAAATTTACCATGGTAATAATAGTAATACATTTTAGTACTTATGCAACACCATGTTTATTTTTCATGAGGTACCCTCAAAGGTGCACCTTTGTAACTTATCTACCCCGTAAAGCATAACTTGTATGGTACTAATATACTCCCTTTTAGGGGTATAGTTGCACCTTTGAGGTTACTGCCACAGTAAAGGGCTAAAATAAAATTATAGTATATTTTATTTCTGACAGTGTAAACAAAAAAGGCCTATGAAATGTAAAAAAAAAACATGGCTTTAAAATCTAATATTGAGTATAATTACTGATTATATTCATTTAATAATTTAAAAGATCAGTTTAGTTTAGAGGTATCATATCGGTATCGATATCGACGATACTGGGCTTGAAAATATCGGTATCGGATTGAAAATAAAATAAGTATCGCCCATCCCTACTGCGTGTCACGTTCGGTTACTTCAGTCAAAATAATCTCTTCAAGAGCACACAATACCTGAGATTTAAAACTGTTAAAAGAAAAGGCTCAATAAACTATAGAACAGATTTAATACACTATGCATCAATATCTCTTCCCTTTGTGCTTTGAACTCTTCCATGCGGAGCGCTGCGCGCTGTGACACTGTGTTACTTCAAATGCATCATCCGTGCACAGGATGCGCATAAGCAATTTGTGCCACTCTGTATTGGAGCCATACTCTTTCGTATTATAATATTTTTGCGCAATGAAAGATTATTAATAGCCTTTCTTGTTCAGTCCTATCTATCATATGTTGCTGCCTTCATTACTGTGCTATACATTTAAAATAAATGTCTTTTAATTTTATAGTATTTATTTATATATAAATATATTTACTTGTTTTTCGTGAATGTATTTTACAACAATACAAAGAGCAATGTGTAACATTTTACCAGAATTAGTCCTACTCTTATTAACTTTTATTTGTTCCCCACTAAATAATGTTGTTATACTAAATGTTTAGATTTTATAAAATTATTGTGCACCCATGATTTTTCTAGAGCATCTTTTGCTGCTGAATTATCCACTAACCTAGTTTATAATAGTATTTTAGTCATAGATTATGATTATATATTTTGTCATTTGTTATTTTTCTTTAAAATGAAGTTGTCTATATTTAGCAGATTGTGTTTAACACACAAAAGAGTGATGATCAGGTCAACACACAGAAGTATAGAAATTCTACATTGATTTAAACAAAAACTGCATTGGTATCGGATTGGTGTCGGTAGATACTCAGAATTTCTGTAGTTGAGGAAATTTAGCTTGAGTAGTAGCATTGCCTGTTAGCCCCCCGCTGACCATAACTACAATCAGGCTTCAAAAAACATCTTTCTCCATTAGTGAGTATTGATTAGTGAAGAATATTCTTAACATTTCAAATGGCAAATATTTAATTAAATGTAGATGTTCTAACAGTGCAATTCTCTTTGAAGGGTTCTTTATAGTGCCTTTTATAAGCCTTTACATTTGAGATTTCAAATTAAAAATGGCTTACATACAGTATAGCTCAGTCTCATATTAAGCAAGGACAGGAGATTTGAGCATCCCAAAAAATTACACACTTCACCTCTAAGTCATGAATTAGACTCACTGGAATAAGAGGATTTTAGACTATTTAGACTGGAAAAGTCTAATCAGCCAGAAATGCTGACAACCAGTGAATTTCAACAACAAGTAGTTGTGTGAAACATCACTGACAAAGTGTAGTGAAGATGTGCTGAAAAACCATCCACTTACTGTATTGTATAGTTTCATATTTTTATTTACAAAATCATTTATATAAAAATCAATATGGCAAAATACTTTCAAATATTTAAAGGTTACAGATACATTACCGTTCAAAATGTAGGATTAGTATAGTCTGTAGGAGTTTTTTAAATACTTTTTGCAGGAAGGACTTCAAACAAATGTTGTTCATTTGAACTTTCTATTTACTATCCTGACTATCCTAAAAAAATTTTTAACAAGGTTTCCACAACAGACTGATTTCAGCATTCATTGATAATAAATGTTTCTTTAGCACAAAACATTTTGTGGTCTGAAATCCTTTCTTCTAAATGTCTCGCATACAAATTTTTGCTTTATTTTCCAATGTTCAATTGTTGAGATACGTTTTAAAATATATATCATCAAGGAAAATAATGCATTGAGATTTTTCAATAGCTTTCTTAAGAACTGCCTCCAGCAATGGTCAGTCTTAATTCTAATGTACCCTTGCAGCCATTAAAAGAAAATGAAGAATCACGTTTAAACTAAATAAAATACTTTCAAATATTTAAAGGTTACAGATACATTACCGTTCAAAATGTAGGATTAGTATAGTCTGTAGGAGTTTTTTAAATACTTTTTGCAGGAAGGACTTCAAACAAATGTTGTTCATTTGAACTTTCTATTTACTATCCTGACTATCCTAAAAAAAATTTTAACAAGGTTTCCACAACAGACTGATTTCAGCATTCATTGATAATAAATGTTTCTTTAGCACAAAACATTTTGTGGTCTGAAATCCTTTCTTCTAAATGTCTCGCATACAAATTTTTGCTTTATTTTCCAATGTTCAATTGTTGAGATACGTTTTAAAATATATATCATCAAGGAAAATAATGCATTGAGATTTTTCAATAGCTTTCTTAAGAACTGCCTCCAGCAATGGTCAGTCTTAATTCTAATGTACCCTTGCAGCCATTAAAAGAAAATGAAGAATCACGTTTAAACTAAAAACAATCAGAAAATCAATACTATTGGTGAAAAACAGACTTGAAGTATTGAAACTGTTTTTTTAGGTTTAACAAAGCAAAATCACTGCTTTAGAATTCAACACCAGGACTTTCACTGTTTATAGGAAAACTAATGACAGCAATTCTTTCTACATATAAGGATTAATTTAACTCAGAAGAGGTTTCACACTTAGTATAAAAGATGATAGAAATCAGAGAGAAAAATGAAGAGTCAATGTGAAACATATGCAATTAGCTGAACGGAATATAAAGGAAAGACAAAGAAGAGAATGAGATTCTAAGGCAGTGGCCATTAGACTGACTCCTGCAGGATTCATAATTACTAAAAAAAAACTCTGTGTGTAGTTTTTGTGTGTGCGTGGGAAAGTGTAGGCGGATGTGTGCGAGCGCCTATGTTAAAGGGGTCATATGATGCGATTTCAATTTTTCCTTTCTCTTTGAAGTGTTACAAGCTCTCGGTGCATAAAGAAGATCTGTAAAGTTGCAAAGACTAAAGTCTCAAATCCAAAGAGATATTCTTTATAAAAGTTAAAGAAACGGCTCGTTCTAACACGCCCCCACATCTACGTCACGATGTGGGAAGATCTGCATAACGCCGCCCAAATGTTCATGCAAAGAAAGAAGGCATAACTTTTATTCTCGCTGTAGTATTGTTGCTGCTGCCATGTCGTGAAGGCGCTGTGTGTTTCGTTGTGAAAGCAAAACTACTTTGTTTGGCCTTCCAAAAGAGGACGAGATATGCTTCGTCATGCCTAGAGCTGATCCGTGCTGGTCGCTGAGGAAATACATCAACTTCG